TACCTCTGCTCTATAGTATTCCCCCATGCTCCACCTCCACTAGCTGCCTACCTCTGCTCTATAGTATTCCCCCAGGCTCCGCCCCACTAGCTGCCTACCTCTGCTCTATAGTATTCGCACAGCTTCACCCCACTAGCTACATAAAACATTTGGTGGGGAGAAAAAGGTGGAGTAGCTGGGGCAACAGAAAGTAATGAGACACTCCCAGAAGAGGAGGACTAGGACACTGAACAAGGGAGCTGTGCTAGGGAATGGACTCTTCCTGTGATGGTCAAAATGTATATCAAGTTCAAAAGGCACATTGCAAATTAAAGTATTTTTGTTTTTTTAAGTAAGGACTTTAAACCACTTATTTTTTTAAGTTGGCAATAGGATCTCGGCAGACGTAGCCATAAAACCTACAGTGCAGCACAAGTGACAAAAACCATACAACACACTTCAGTTTTATTAGCAAGTACACAGTCAATGAGACCGACAATGCCTTTATTAAACAGCAGAAATTCATTGGATAACAGTTATAGTCAAGTCTACATTCTTGCCCAGCTACAGGAAAAATAGATACGTTTGTTGGTAAGATACAAATTCAGAACAATCCCTTTAGGTTTTATTGGTCTAAAAATACCAAAGTTGCACGTCCATCCCTAACACCAGAATGAGTTCTAAAAAGGGGGTCATTTGGGTGTTACATCAAAAAAGAAATGAGCCAACAACAAAAACGGAACATTTCAAAAAGGTAAGATAATATGTATATATACACACACTTAACAAAACTGTATTTAAAAAAACTGTATTTAATATATATATTTAAAGGATAAACTAGAATATATTTTAGGCGTTCTGATAATTGTCGTTTTGTATTTCGGCATAAACATAATTTTTGGTACAAAACAATGATACTGGCATGCATTATATCCCTAATGGAAAATTAGGTATGAAGAATAAAACCTTGGACAGCTTGTACTATAGCCACTCCCACAAGGTGGCAGAGTTTGGGTTCTTTTTTAAACTGTTGGTGGCAGCAGCCAACATAGATTCTGCCCTTTGGAAGATGGATGGTTCCTTGTATGAAGGTTCACTTAGGCTACAGAGAACAGTAAATTGGCCTCTTGTGACCATTGCAAATGGTAGGCGCAAGTCGACCTGCTGTGGTATCAGAGAGCAGAGATGGCCAACAAGAACCTCATCCCACTCCAGTGAAAATAGATGCTTTTGAAGGGTGTTATCCTCAACAGGGGCAACTTCAAGGGAAAAAGGGAGGGGGTGCAACTACCTTCAAGGTTGGAGTCATGCCCACAGCAGTGCCAGTGAAAGTTATTGACTTTCAGAAGGACTAAAGAGGCACTTGTAGTAACAATGGCAGTTCCCACTTAATGACCCCCACCTACTGGGGGGGAACAAAAAAAAAAAAACAAAAAAACAAAAAACAAAAAACAAAAAAAAAACCACACCTGGCCTGTTGTGTTGCTTCAATGGTAGCCATGCTTTTTTGACCTGGCACACACATGCAGATTAAGGGCTCAGACTTAAAAGAACTGTCCTTTTACTATAAAATCCTCTGCCCCCCGCACCTTTCCCCAGCTTCTTACATTCCCCCTTACCAAAGCTGTATACCAGTAGTAGGTACATGTCTTCTGCAGGGGTAACTGAAGAGGATTTTCGCCCAAGGGAAAGAACACATTACCCAGGAGGCAGTTCTGCTAGAGCAGCAAGAAGCTCGGGTGGGAAATATCAGTGTAAATTAGTTCAGGAGAAGTTGGAGAAGGGGTGTCGGGAGAAGTGTTAGAGGGAAATACTACACAGTTATCCAATTCTACCCCCCGCCCCCCATATACTCTTTGCCATGTGTGCCCATGCCAATACTATAAACATCCAACTATGGGGAAGCATATGACCTTTTCCCCTTCCTCCGAGGACAGAGCTCAGGCACCAGGAGAAGACATTGTAATCTTGGGAGGGAAGAAATGTATGGTTTCCTGTGGAGGTCAAATATGGGTACTACAAATTATGGTTCTCTACACTTCCATTAAAAATAAGCTTGATTATCAACTTCCACCAGCCAAAATGTGCCAAGCACGAATGGAGGGGTGAGGCCCTTGCACTAGACATGGCGCAGGTCCAATCAAAGTTCTCCTTTTGTACTGAAAGCTGACAGTTCCTTGAAATTCACATTGTCCCTATAAAGTCATTAAGGCTTTCCTATAACCATCTATTGCTTTCTCATATACATACATAAAAAAACACTGTAGTGGACAATATATATATTATATATAAATGTTAATGACAACATGAACAAAATACAATCAGGTTAGTATTTGATGCTCCCTTTCATAGTTGGAAAAGAACATTCATAAATGGTGTGAATGCTTATATAGAAGAGACACTGAAAGGATACAAAGCAAAAAAAGGAATATATAATGTACAACTAGGAAATAGGGGCAGACTAAAGCACCAAAAAGGGATTGAAGACCATCTTAGGGCTTGTAGAGAAGAGCATTCATTGATGTGCCCGTCTATGCTTACTGGCTCCTGGATGGACTAATTCAGCCCAAGAAATGGTTCTCTGCAGCGAACGGAAATGCTTTACTGAATAGACCTTCATAGTGTATAGATATTGGTGCAGAACATGGTCTTTCTTATGCAGTGTGGCACACTGGCAATGACCACATACTAGGAGAAAGAATGCAGGGCAAAGCAACAGGGTTAGCTTACCTGCCCTCTCCTCCCCAGCTTTACATACTAGTCACTTTGCTCTTATACCAGGAATGAAGACCAGGATCCTTGAGTCTAAATGCAAGTTTTGGTGCTCAAACACAAAGGGGAAGAATCTCTACTAACCCCCAGACAAGCAGCTGACCACTAGTATAGTCATGTGAAAAGGTAGGGGGTAGGACACATTGCCTACACCCAGAAATACCAAGTACAACCTCTTTACTCCCCATCAGCCAAATGGAGCCACCAAGAAGAAAAGGGAAGGTGCAGTTGGAGGGAAAGCAACAGGTTCACTTAGCTGCCACTCTTTCCAACAACCACAGGTTCTCTTTGATGTCGGCATGCAACCACACAGCAAGATACATATCCAGTCCTATTTCTGGTGTTTCAGTCTGCATTACTGACCGCTTGGCATATAAACCAGGATTAAATGCAGTCAAAGAGATGACAGCCATATTTACTGCACAGTACACTAAATGTGATCAGCAGTCAAAGTGTCAGGAAGTAAAGGATAATACATTCCCTTAAAAGCAAAATCCTCCCAGTCGGAATTTTTAGGTACGAGTCCTAATAAGCACAGTCCCCCCCAGAAGAAGCAGGCACATCAACGACATGCAATTTCCAGTTAAACAGAGTCAAGCCCACACACACAGCTATACACGAACAGAAAAACCAATCTAGCAAAAATGAGTGAGCTGCAATACCGTAGTCTTGCAGCAGGTGGCACTGCAAGAAAAACTGAAATGTCAGCTCCTGGTAAATCCAGGGCACTGTAGTGAGATATCCCAAGATACAGTAGTGAGGAGAGACTGAGATTTCTCTTTAAAGCAGAAATCTAATGTCGGCAAGAGCCTTATTGCCGACATTAAAAGCGGCATAAAAGATCCCTTTTATGTTTTCTAGCAATAGGCTCAGATAAGCTTTTCTGTGAAGTGCTGGCAGTGTATCTTCTATGCCAAACACAGCAGTGAAGACGTAATTAAGTGCATAAATCCTAGCTACCATTACACCACCACGACAAAAGGGAAGAAGTATGCAAAGAGGCTTAGAAGCGCCAAAGTATCACACTCAAAGTACATTTTCTTCCATCTTTCTAGTGTTACTAAAAAAAAGTTTATTTTTTTGTTTGTTAAAAGGATAAGAGTGGAATCTGAAAAAAAAAAAAGTGAATATAAACTTCAATATAAAAACCAAAACATTTCAATTTTTTCCACCAAAAAAATAAATCTAAAACACGAGAAAATATCGAAGGGAAAATGGAATCTTCGCGCTCTGCAGGACATGGAAAGGTCCTCTCCTTCAATGGCCGCCTTATAACAGCTGCCCCGTGCTTTTAAGTGCTTGAAGAACTTAAAACCCATCAGGATGGAAACAGGGAAGAAGCCATTGCCGACTTCTTGTTGCAGGGGCAAGTTCCAGGATGGTCATCTTTACTTGGAAGTTCTACACTTGTTTTAGCTTAGAGGCTTAGCAAGTAGCAAAGAAAGGATAAGGATGACCGCTTTGGAACATGTCCCATCAAAAATCAGGCCAGCAGTGACCGCTCATTACTTCAATTGCGACAAATTTTCTTACCTGTTTCTAACCTAAAACAATAATTTTCAGCAACACCTCAATAACAATGTTCACTGGCAGGTGGAGCCATGAGTAAAAGCTACACGTATTGTGTCCTTGACACAAAGCAATGACGAGGGTGACCATCATGGAGCGTTCACCTTCAAAAATCCATAGTAAGGTAAATTGACTTGGTAGGTACAGTAGATAGGAGCCCATTAGTTGAACTTATACTCCATCAAAAACGTGTCCTGCTTAAAAAAGGTAGACCCCACAAGTCCAGATTTAGGTCACTTTGGTACCCAACTAAATGACTATGCACCAACTGCCAGCTCCTTTTCCAATAAGAGTTCCCTTCATGCCAAATGAGGCAGTCTATTGGACAGAAGGATAGCAGTGGACTGGTCCTAGCCATAATTTCAGGCTCCACTAACAGAGTGAACCTAAATCAGGAGGGGCATAGAATAGTTTATCAACCAGATGAACTAAACAGCAGGGACCTTTTGGTGTTGTGTTCTTAGAAACACGTACTATTAAAGGTTTAATGGGGTAAAAGTTCCCGTCAGGTCCCAACTAACCAAACGCAATGTTTCTCAAACAGCAAACGTCATCTATGTGACCATACCACAAAGACCACCCTATATTCACCAGCATAGAATGCTGTAAGTGAAACCTAACTGTATGACCCAATCCCAGGGAGGGGAACTTCACCACTTCGTACAATGAAACAGAGGGAGGGTCAAGCCATTGGAAATAACCAATTCTACTGGAACTCCCCTTAAAAAACACAGGAAAAGAAACATAGAACCATTAGTTTTTTCCAGAAGTATCAAGACTAATAGGTTAGATATTAGAAAGTCCATGCAAAGTTACATGAAGATCAAATGATGGAAATGGAAAGAAATTGATTTTTTTTTTCCTTCCAGAGTTGCTGGTCTGGATGGGTCCATTGTTCGGCTGATAAAGGAGTGCTGGAGTGCTTTAGCAAGATAATTCCAGTGTCTGTGGAGCTTCATGGACATTTGTCACGGCCGTGCCAGGTGTGGTCTCGAGATGGGCATTGCCGGTTTGAGATCGGCTGCGGGGGACTTCTGTCGAGCCACTGCTGGAGGCGGAGTGAGTGCGGGAACGGACCAGCCTGGTCATACTTGCTGCCGGCACTGCAAAATAAAAAGACAGGTTGACTAAGAAACACAAGACTGGAGCATTTTAGAAGCCATTTTGTCCCAGTTGCAGATTTGTCTTGCTTCCAGATCTACACCCAAATGAGATTGTCTTCTTTATGGATGCAGCACTGATGAAGGTCTAGATGGAAATGTCCTCTGGTGATCCCATACTATATAATACTGAAGTCTTCTGAAAAGCTGGCCTTATATGGTGGCAATTATCAGTGTAAAGCACTTTCAAGCCTCTGGCAAATCACAATTATGACTACAAGGAACCTACCCACCCAATGAGTTTGATCAACCACATGAATGCTGATGATTGTGAAGTGACTCAAATTAAAAGCTTAATATGAAATAAAAAATAAAAGTGTATTAAAAGATCACATTTAAAAACAGAATGGAAAAGGGGAAATTTTAACACAATTTTGTCTAAAGTGATCTGATTTTTTCCACTACATTTGATTAGGGCACTTTTATTCTTGTCGCCTTGTGATGGAAACACCATTTTAGGTCTTGTATTAAGTTACCACTATATGGCCAGCTTTAGAGTTAGTAGTCTGTGAGGCTGACCCCAAAAAAGGAAAATCCACAGACACTTAGAAGCATTAAATGACCAGAGGGACATCATGGCAGACCTTCAAACTGGCAATGTAAAGTAAAACTATAAAAAACTGTAACAAGAGATGGTTTGCAAGCTCAACATTGGAAACGCTGGCCAAGGTACAGCTAGTAGTACAGTAGTTACATCCAACTGTACTGATTAACATGTTTCGTAGCTTAGCCAAGCCACTTCCAAGTTCTGATGAGGGTCAGGAAAAATACCACAGCACAAATATTCAATGTTACAGAACCAGTCCAGTTGAATGTGACTACCAACAGTAGCTATATCATCATCACCTGGATAAATGAGACATCTTGTCAATGTGTTTACTTCTGTTGTAAGACAGTTTGAAGGGGTAAAACTCTTTTTCACAGGCGTGTTGAACTCTCCAAACCCTTCATATGGTCATCAGGTGCGTTTAGCACACAGTAGTGATTCTTTGTCAAGTGGCCCACACAAAAGCCTTTCCAAATGCAATCAGGTCCTCTGTATGTATACAACTTCATAGCATCAGCAAGTGCTGATGCTATGAAGTTGTATACATACACAGGAGAACTGAAGGTTGTGCAAAGTCCAATCAAAAATCTGGACAGGCTGTCAAAGAGGACCCCCAAGGTTTATCCTATTGCGGCTGGCCAATTATTTGAAAGAGGTGGTATAAGTCAGGGGTAGGCAACCTGGGCACACTAGCTGTGGTGAAACTGCAAATCTCATGCAGCCTCTGTCGCTTGGAGTCATGCCAGTGGTTGTCAGTCTTGCAATGCCTCATTGGATTTTGGTATTTCCGCAATGGCTGGAGTGCTGAGGCTGCCTGCCCCTAGTATAGGCGAGCTGACTATTGGACAGACAGCTTCTACATTCCAGAGGATCTCCATGGTCTCCTGGGTTTGTAGGATAAAATTGAAACACCAAACTCAGTTTTAAAAAGTCAACATACATTGTTATCCAATGTAGGGTTTGGGGGGGCGACAGTATAGAAATAGCCAACATGGTATGTTTCGGGGGCTTACACAAATACCCCTTCATCAAGTATCAGGACTATGATGGCTTGAAATTGGATAGAGTTTTGTTCCATGTGTGAGAATACATAGAGGTCTTCTGCAGCTGATTTGGCAGCCAAACCTCAAAGTCTAGATAAATGTTCTCCCTTAATAAGCCCTGAGGAAGGAGGTATTTGTATGAACCCCAAAAACACTACCCCACATTGAAATCAGGATGTATCTGGACTAACAGTGCGGCACTTCCAATTCAGAGATTTTTGTTGGAAAAGGCAAAAACATTATGCAGCCTTCAGAACACTCAACTTGGTAAGCTGAGGGTTCTAAAATCACTGAACAGACCCTTAGAGGATCTATGGCGAAGGAGATGGTCTTTACATGAACTCAAACTAGAAAATAAAAGTCTACAGTTAAGTGGAAACGCATCTTTAAAAGTCCTTAGATATTGCTGTTGCATTAGTACAGAAAAATACCTGTTGATTCTGCCAGAATTCCAGTGGACTGAACGGATATCTCAAACTTAATCACCTTTTCCAGCTCTCTGCTATGAGACACAAAACACACCTCCAAGTAATAGAGATGAAGCGTTTGTAGCCCAAATCAGGAGAGAAGCCTAGGGTGACACCACTTACCCATAAATACAGTACGGTGAGGGTTATCACCGCAGGACAGAAGCATGTTACCGACAGGGTAAACAGGTGAAAATAAAGGGGGGAAAAAGCCTAAGACTAATGGAGCCACCACATCTAAGAAAAAGCTGCAATATATAAATTGTTTTAGGTCTTGTTCACACCAAATGCAGAGCAGATCTGCATGAGTTTCAGCACACGCAGTGCAGTGGGTTGTGGTGCATTTCGGGCCGTTTTTGGTTAAAAAAAAAGAAGATTTTTTTTTTAGTTTAAAATGGGCTTTCAGTGCGTTCCAGGGTGTTTTTGATGCGTTTGCATGCGTTCCAGAGCAGGTAAAAATAGGGCTTGCTGCAGTTTTTTACCTGCTCTGGAATGGAACGCTGCGATGTGAACGGGAGCTAAAACTCCCATTGGAATACATTGGACGCAGTTTTGCTCCGTTCTGTAACTGCTCTGCTCCTGGAACGCGCTTGGTGTGAACAAGGCCTTAGAGTTTAGATACACCAAGCAAAAAGGAAACTCCATAAAAATATTCCCTTTCTCCCAATCGGTTTCTTAACTTCAGACATAAAATACATTTACAACCATCATGCAAAGACATGCACTACTGGAATAAAAAAAACAAAACTAAAAAAACTACACCAACATGCCAAGCTGCAGTCTGATGCAAGAAGATGCAAAGTTCTAGAACATTAACTAGAACCACTACAATCCACATCACCCAGCAAAGCACAGGTCTACTCTGACCAATCCAAGACGTGCTGCACACATTACGGGCTGTAGGTACCTGATTCACTGCTCAGATGACTGAGCTGAACATATGGAACTGCGGTAACATTCAACAAGGGGGGGGGAAGGACAGACACAGGAACAGGTTAGTAAAGTAAGAAAAAAGGAATTACAACATACATGTCAAAAAGTAAACTTCAAATTATTTTTGAAATCTTTCATTTAAAAAGAACCATTAATGGGAATAGTTTTCTTTGAGTTTTGGCCCATATAGATATCTTAGTTTAGGTGGACCCAAGTCTACCAAAGTTATGGTCTGCTTTAGACAAATCAGTGAAGTTTGTGGTCTTCAAGAGCTATGGCCTCCAATAGCTTCAGCTATCTACCCTTCCTGGTCCCCTGTGTACACAGTTTCCTCCGCTGGCCCCTGTGTCACAACTGTGACCTGTGGTGACATATCAGCCATAGGGAGGAACCACAGTACACAGCGGTGGACCAGGCAGCAGATACCTAGAAGTGTTAAATGCTTGAGGCTATAGCTCTTGAAGACAGCAAAGTGAGAATTTGCCACCCACAGGACACGGGAGTATTAAATCTTCATTTGCAGGAATTCTTTATATTTGTTTTTACTGCCGGCCATAGAGAGAGCTTATGGTTCTCCAGTAATAAAGACTCTAAAGCGAAGCACTTTGAGTCTTCATTACTGGAGAACCATGAGCTCCCTCTATGGCCGGCGGTACTTTATGCAAGCAGACTCCACAGAATCCCAACTCCCACCCCAACATTTGTTGTTCACTCACGCAAGTGAGTGACATAGAACATAGTCACCTACAGACAGCACACCCCGTAGATCTAAGTCATTTGCAATCTGACCTTCCCATTTCAGCAAACAATGAAGCCACTTCCACTATCCTGAATGGATATTTCAAATGGTGGCCATTGGATGATACATTTTAAACATAAGAATTCATTTCTGGCAAATACAAAATACATTTTAAAACCTTAAAATTACATCTGTCAATATTTCAGCCTCCAAAACAAACCTCTCAAATGAATGCTAGATACCAACCAGTGCCTACTTGTGAATTGATTTTTGAAGGACGCCATAGAAACCTGAGCAACTGCAGTATGGAACTGATGACTTTTGAAAAAAAGTCGATATGTAGGCACACCCTTGCTGCCTTCCACAATGAAATGCGGCATTTCAGCAAGCTACCAAGAGGCCCTCTACTGTGTGATGGGCAGTTCCCAGCTCTTACATCCCCAAGGCAGTAATTTGTATGCGGTGGGCACTAGATTTTAAGGGCTTAAAGGGGATCCTGCAGCAAAACTGGTGGAAACCTGGAGATGCCTATACTTCTACTAAAAAGGTTATTCTGGAAATAGTCGCTTTATCCGCTGGTAAGCACACAAATGGGCAAACAGGAGCCATACCCCTTATGGACCAAAGCAATTTTTACAACTGAACCTACCAATTCAGCAAGAACTTTAGACAAAGTAATACCTACATTGGTTTTTCAGTACAAAGAAAGCTGTCCTTTGGTAATAATTTCTTCGAGCCATTTAGAGGACATTCTTTTATACAAGAATTGGACACCCCTGGTTAAAACAGATTTGCAGTCACATTTCTAAACACGGAATTCCACCCAGACAACATTTCTAGAGGGAATGGCACTAACTTCTAAAGATTAAAGTGACTGCATTCATCATAATTCATATAAAGCATAATAAATCGCACTTACTGTATCCCATTCCTTGTACAAAGTATTTGAGGGCCTCTGCCAGCTTTCCAGGCTAAAGAAAACAAATATACAAATTGAGCTCAGGATACTAAGAGTAGCAGAAAGGAAGAAATACATCACATGACGTTCACTTATTTAGAGGGAGATCTTCCAGCTAACAAACTGAAAAAGGCAAATATTTTTTAGTCTGACCACTGACCATATGCCATGTTGAACTCTGTATCGTCCTAATAGATGCACCCTACTTGCCATGTTGTATCGTTCTAATGGATACACTCTCCTTGCTAAGTTGTATAGTCCTAATGGATGCACCCTACATGCCATGTTGTACATTATATAGCCCTAATGGATGCACCCTATACGTCATGTTGTACATTGTATAGTCCTAATGTATGCACCCTACATGTCATGTTGTACATTGTATCGCCCTAATGGATGCACCCTACTTGCCATGTTGTATAGTCCTAATGGATGCACCCTACTTGCCATGTTGTATAGTCCTAACGGATACACCCTCCTTGCTAAGTTGTATAGTCCTAATGGATGCACACTACTTGCCATGTTGTATAGTCCTAATGGATGCACCCTACTTGATATGTTGTATAGTCCTAATGGATGCACACTACTTGCCATGTTGTATAGTCCTAATGGATGCACCCTACTTGCCATGTTATATAGTCCTAATGGATGCAGCCTACTTGCCATGTTGTATAGTCCTAATGGATGCACCCTACTTGATATGTTGTATAGTCCTAATGGATGCACCCTACTTGCCATATTGTATAGTCCTAATGGATGCATCCTACTTGCCATATTGTATAGTCCTAATGGATGCACACTACTTGCCATGTTGGATAGTCCTAATGGATGCACCCTACTTGCCATGTTGGATAGTCCTAATGGATGCACCCTACTTGCCATGTTGTACATCAGCCTGTTCACAGCAATGCAGGGTTTCAATATTCTGGGAGGCTGCAGACCACACTGTTTAAATCAAGACTTCCTCAGGAGAAGGTAACCAACCACTTTGCCATGTTTCCTGCATTTTTTTATAGTGAGATATATACACTTTAAAAAGGTGGCCCATTAAAATTAAACTCCAGCCATAACTGGGAAGTATGAAGGGTGCCATTGCTTACCTCTCCCTCTGAATATGTTGGCTCCCTGGCTGTCAATCTGACTCAACTGCTTGAGCACTACTGAGCCACTGACCAACAAGCATGTAGCATAAAGGTTCTGACTTCACTGACTTTATTAGCCCTAAGCTTGTCTTGGGTCAGAGTTTTTAGAAGGTGGTAGTCAACAGCAGCCCCAAATATCTTTCTCAATACAGGCTTCCTTTAAACGCAGTCAAAAGGGTAAGGAATAAAAAAAAAAAAAAAAATGTTTCCCCCCCAGGAGATTTCCTCTCATAGTCTGTTTTATTGACAAGTGGTCACCACTGCAGGAAGTGAGGAAAAGCCTTTCTATAGAGCAAAAAAACAGTAAAAACGAGAGACCAACCTGTACAGCTTGAGGTAATCCCCCACAATCTGCCATCTAGGAATAAATTAAACACACCATTAGAAAAAAAGTCAGAATGTCTAACCCCCCCGACCTTTATAATATGTCGTATAAGCAAACTACTAAAAATGTCAAACATTTTATACCAGGTCTTGTGCATTGTGATCATCCAGATAAGGTTAGGAGAGATTGGCACTTATGAGTTCAAGGGTCCGCGCTATCAGAGGGAGATTGTAGTGTGGGCTAGGTGTTAGCTGGGGGATTGAACAATTTCCCGGAGCATGGGGAATACAACGCTCTACAACTGATGTAGTTTACATTAAAGCAGAACTACACCCTCCTATCCTTACAGCCAAGGAAGCTGCCATCTGGACCTCTATGTGGATGGCAGTTGCAATAGAACTGCACATGTGATCAGCTGTGACAACAACCATTTGGGGGCTTGAGAGATCAGTGGAGAGCCGAAATAACCACACTGATGACAGGGTGACAGGTTGGCATGCCTTAAAAAGTAATAGTTTTGGGACACATTGAATGGGTGGGCCAAGCTCAGCTTTAAAACAATTATATTCAACCTGTAAGCTACCCATTAACCTGGCTTACATCTACTATGCGGAAGCACCGCAGACAGCCCGAACGTCTATTGTATAACACCTAAAGTCAGGCAAAGGTTACTCAACTCACACACCATCGTTATCAGGACATAGCTCAGAAAAGGAAGTCTGCTGAAGAGCAATATCCAGTGAATATTTTTTTATTTTTTTCCACACAAGGTTACCTTAAGAAGTGTTGTTCTTGTTGGGTCTAATCTGGAGTTACATTCCACCTGAAAAGACAACATATTAGTTATTTATAGGTATAATATTCTCCATCAAAACCGCTCAGTCTCCCAAAGTTTTGGCTACAGGGAAAGTTCAGAAGCACTCTTCAATTTTATGCCATGTTAGGAGGAAAAAAAAAAAAAAAAAAGAGAG